ACCGAAAGATCTGCTTGGAGATTAATTACGCTCTATGTCGAACCTTTCGTATAGTAACAGTTTAAACCAAGTTAACAACGTCTTTCCAATGGTACGTAAATGAAGAAGACAAGATATTCTTCATCACCGTGCACAACATACAATCAGATACGTATTTCAAACTACAAACCTCACGTGGTGCACCTTGTAAAGGATCCGCAGGGGGCGCTCTTAGGCAATGCACGTAGCCTGTTGCTACTACAGCTTGCATCTCTAGGTTTCGATGTGAAAATGGTTATTTAGGGGTCAGCAGCTACGGCACGGACATAATTGTGCGAATTCTGATGAAGACGATATCATAGAGGGGATAGTATCGGAAGGAAGAGCGACAAACAGTGGTACTTTTGGTACTGAGTAGAGAATGGTTTTTCAGCACCAAGGAAAGGGAAGGTATGGGCTACTACATATACGATTGGGGAGGGGGCCCTTGCGCACAAAAAGACCATATCAAGAGTAGTGATCATATATTGCTAGGATCCACAACTACCACACTACCACACTAGACAATCACATCTCCTGCACAGACCCAACTACACTTCAAAAGCAGGACAACGTACCTTTGCGTACAGGGCAGCAGTAACATACAACTCACTAAAATGTAACTTAAAACAAGCACTCACACTTAAGACTAAGATCTGAACCCATCTGACACCTGACTACCTAATGACGATCTCGACAACCTTGATTTAACTATGTTTATTGATTTGTATGATTTGTTTATATGATTTATCATTCTTATTTTCTATTATTACTACTATGTTACCATTTCCTAAGTTACTCGGAATTTGACCTCTGGCCCTCCAAAGACCACTGACCGACTGTTGTGCTTAATTTATGTTAATTTAATTTATGTTATATTATCTTTTCTGTATTCTTGTTTGCATTATATTCTTGTTTATTTATTATGAGCTCTCTTGGAAATCAGCCCCTCGGGGCTGAAGAGACTACCCATATGTTGTTAAGATGAATAAATAAATAAATAAATAAATTGGCTTTTGATCTGGTCACGAATATGACATGGGTTTAAAGGCATCCAGTGCAGGCCTTGAAAACCCAATTTTTCAAAGTCAATATTCCTGCCATTTATCTACATACTGAGTTGAAACCACACTGTCCCAATGTATATTGACCCTCATGGAGCAAAAATTCCCAAATTTCTAACGGAAAATGGTTACTGGAAGGGCTCTTGGCTGATTTGTAGGGTACCACCCATAGAATAAAGGACTCATGTTGGGGCTTGTTTCTGCAGTTTTAAGTACCCAAAGTATGAAATACTGATTGAAATGTGCTAATGTGGGACAGTATGTGTCAATATCACAAAGATTGCCTCATTCAGACTATTTCTAGTTTTGCTGCTCTTATATTGCATTGGGTGCCTTTAAAGGTGTGTACAAGAGGTGCTGTTTTGGTCAGGAACTGATCAGGACTTAAGGCCATGTTGATTTGATTATATGGATGACATCCTCCGGGAGCCCCAAAACTGATGCGCGCGTGCGAATAAAAAAAAGTTTTGCAAAAAAAAAAAGCTGTTTTCATTATGAAATCTACGTGGTCATGAGGGTTGAACAAATGGGACAGAATATGGTTTGGCGAATAATCTAATCTTCAAGTTCATTTCCTTACAATTTTGTCTTTTTTCATTTGATTTTGGCATTCTACGACATTGGTATAGTTTTTACTTATTTTTTTGTAACTTACGGTATATTTTTGCTCATTTTGCAACTGTTTTGTACGATTTACAGTATGGTTGAAAACTTTTTTTTTTTGGAAACGGCCGAAAATTCATGCGCGCGCGGATGTCATCCATATAATCAAATCAACATGGCCTAATTGTGATTCCAGTTTTGATTGGTATGTTAATTGGACACCTAGGGAGTGGAGGAAACTAGAGGGCAGCCCTGTACAGGATGGAGGGACAGTCTAGTGCAACATCTGGGCCCTGCATGGACAACAACTGCCAGACTCAGAAGAGAATGGAGTCAGTCAAGGGAGAGGTTCCTCCACGGGAGTGAAGAGGTGATTCACCTTTGGCCATTTACATGAAAGTTTGGTACAGTACTTTGATAATTAATAGAGGTTACTATTAATGTCATACTACTGATTCTGATTTTAGATTTACAGTGACTGTTGGTACAACAAGAAGTAAGTCTGTCCCTGGTATACATTGTTTCAGGAGTGAATGTAGTCAGACTAAAGTTCTCCTTCCAGCCCTCCGCTTTTTATCTTGTCCTCTTGCTGAATCTTTACTTAATTTTTACCCTTGTCCTGCGGGACCCATATATATATTTAAACCAAATTTAACGTCATTTTTCCCCAACCGGGGGTTAGACGTGCTTGCACCAAGTACAAGTCTTTTTTTGAAGCAGGATTTTTACGGCTGGATGCGCTTCCTAACACCAACCCAAACCCTAGTAGGGCCCAGGATCCCTCTAACTGAGGGGGGAAATGCGTGTTAAGTGCCTTCCCCAAGGGCACAATGTCTGGGTGCATGTCCGGACATGTTTGGGTCCAACCCTGGGGATTGAACCTGGGTCTTCTTGCTTGACAGTCAGACGCTCTACACACTACACCACACAGACGCCATATATATGGGTTGCACATACAGTACCATCTATATAGTGCCCTGTGTATGTACGATTTGGGTGTGTTGTGCAACGCATCACACAGCAGCGAAACGCAACAAATGCGGAAGTAACTACGCTACGTTGGGGCAAAAAAAGTCAGGGGTCTGTGACCTGCTTATGACTTCAAACTACTTAAAAATATTGTGTAAAAAAAGTCCAGCAGGACAAGGGTTAAAAATGTCTGAGAAACAAGAAAATGCATTGGTGTGGCCCTAATATTTGAGCAAGATGGATACAAAGTAACCATCATTCGACACCACAAGCTGCCCCTCCCCACCTGTAGCTATACTTTGAGGCTCCCGCACGTAAGCGACAGTGCGGATGTGTTTTCCCTCAGCTGTGTACATCTCTAATTTGCTGTTTCGATTATCACCCACAATTACACGGCCAAATCTGTCCACAGAGATTCCATAGGGAAGGAAAAGATCCCCTGCTTTACTGTCAAAACTGGAAAGGTACACTCCATTCTTATCATACTTTTGAACAGGACTGTTTTGCCTGTATGTGATGAAGATGTCTCCTTTCTCATCCATGGCAATAGACTGCCATAATGGTTTTTTTGTTGACGTCCCAAACTTGCTCAATTTTGGCACCTGTGTCGGTGTGTAAGTAGGTCTAAACCACACAGCCTCCACGTACACATATACACGTGCTATTGCCAGTATGATTCTGTCAGAAAGCTTGTGCCAGGCAAGTCCATAGATTCTAAGTCTGTCCCTGAAAGTACACTTAGAAAGGACATGGCCCTCTTTGCTGTACTGACGGATGGAATGTCCAGTGAAGGCTTTTCTGTCACGACCTGTGTACAAAGCTACCCACAGGGTATCATTGCAGCCTGTGGATATGGCATGTGGGTTCAAGTTTCCTGTGGAGAACTTGCGAAGAAAAACTCCCTTCATGCTGAAGACTTGGATTCTTTTGTTGCGCTCGTCAGTCACAAATATCTCGTTAGTCGAGGACACGGCAAGTCCTCCTGCAGTCTGAAACTTGCCAGGTCCTCTTCCGGCCCCACCAAAGGTGACCCTGTCTTTCTTCTCTGTTGGTAGAACAATAGTAAAACACTTTAGTGAAGTTGGCACCAATTTGTAGACTTAAAAGATCCTCATAGAAACTACGAAAGTACCACTAATAAAGACAAGACAATAAAACAATGACTCTGATAATTGGCTAAAGGTGTTCAAGTCCAGTTTTTGTACCTATAGGCACAAAGTGCTACCATATATTTATATTCACAAGAAGAGAAGATAGTAATGTTTTGCCCACCTTTACAGTGGTATGTTACCTCCAGGTATTTCTTGTTGCGCGGGCAGGGGTCAAGAAAGTTTTTATCATCTACTGGCACATCACAACGTTGTAAGCCTTGGCATTTTTTTCTTACAATGGACTGGGTGCTGAGTGTTCAAAAATACAAGATCACTTTAAGTACATTAAAACTGTAAATATTTGTAATGGAAAGCTAATTTTTAAAACCAAATTGACACTTTTATAAAGCTTAAGGCAAAACATTTAAATGTAAAAATCAGAGAGGTGTGAGTTTATAGTTATACTAAAAAATGTGCAGGTCTTTCACAATAATTCTCTGTAAAATCTGACTGATCTTTTAGAGGATGGGATTAGGCCATGTTGATTTGATTATATGGATGACATCCTCTGGGAACCCCAAAATTGATGCGCGCGTGCGAATAAAAAAAAAGTTTTGCAAAAAAAAAGTTAAGTTTTCTATTATGAATACTACG